CCACACGTGTTCAGGTACTAGAGTGACTTTCGCGCCTGTGTCCACTTCCATTCTCAGCGGCCGTTCGTTGACGAACACGGACACAAACAGCGAGTCTGACTCGTTCAGCGGAGACGTGACTTTCCCAATAGCGTAGGACTCATGCTGGACAGGCTTCTGCTGAGATGCTGGTGCGCTGTGTGCTGAAGGTGCACTAACGACTTGATGTGTACCACCTCCTCTTCCTCTCCTTCCAGTCTTGGACGACCTGGATGTCACTGGTTTCCGACACTTGCGCTTGTAGTGACCTTTCTTGTGGCAATTCAGACACTCCTTGCCACGTGCAGGGCAGTTAGCAGACTCCGCTGTGTGATCCGAAAGACCACAGTTGCTACACTCTGCTCCGGGTGGACCACCTGAATGCGTTGGTGTCCTAGTGCCCGTAGTGGAGGATACCAGACGGACAGGAGCTGGAGCACTGCGCGATTGTGACATTCCTCGAGCGCTGAGTTCAGTTGCCTCGAACTGTCTGGACAACTCCAGAGCATCCTTGAGCTTGAGAGTGCCTTGTTTCTCCAGAAACTTTCGGCGTAGACGATCATCGATGCACTTCTCTACAAGCTGGTCACACACTTGCTCGTCCTGGTCAGCAAACGAACAGAGCTTTGCTTGTTGAACCAAACGGTTGCCAAACTGAGCTACTGTCTCTGTCTCCATTTGCGCCAATCGGCGGAAAGTATGTCGTTCGAACATTACATTCGGAGTGTACTGAAAGTACGAATCCAACATAGTGACTACTTTGTCGTAAGAATTTTGGACAGAACCATCCGTCGGAGCTGGAGGTTCCGGGAGCGTGTCAAACACGTCCTGTACAGCGGGACCAACAAGATGTAACAGCTTTGCTTTCGACCGTGTCGAATCGGTGATATCCTCTGCAGCAAGGTAGTATTGAAAACTGCGTTTCCACTTCGCCCAGCGAATGGATACATCTTGAGCAGGGCCCGTAGGATCGAACTGAGGTACTGGGCGTTCTGCCATTGCGGATTACAAAAAACTATCTTCGTCGCCAGTGTTATATTCGCCAGAATATGATCGACAGAGAACTACATGAGCAAGAGCACAATATATTACAACTATACTTCAGAACGACAAGCAAGGACTATTCGAAATCAGGAAACGAATAACTGACATAGCTGACAGAGTAGACTACGCGCTCTACTTCAAACACTACGCATAACGTACACATGGCAAAGCAGTTGACAACAGTGTACAAGGCATGCATGTATAATGTGGAGTACACACAGAGCAGCGTATGGCGTACAGATCATGTACAGACAGACTATGGATTCAAACATAACACAAAGCAACTTCCTTGTCAACAATTTCTGTCATCCAGTTAGCCAAAGTGACTCAAGGTTGTGTTTTCTCCGTTTTCTCCTTTGTCTCTCCGCCAAGCTGTACAAGAGTATTAGTTGTGCTAGTCTGCGTAGACAAGCGCTGACTCGTGTGAGCTGGAAGCGCTTGAAAATTCACAACTTCAAACAGCGATCGATCGCGCTTGGTTGAAATATTTATTTCTTGCGTGGGCAGATAGAGTAGCTCATGATCGCAGTAGTGAATTTCCTGGAGTTCATGAGGCCAAGCAAGAACTACTCGAAGCAGAGGACCAGTTATTTAGGCCTCGACATGGCGAGTGGCGTTGACGCCAACTCAGAAATGGCTGTGATTACCTGTCAAAAAATCTAGCCAAAGAAGTAGACAAGGAGCAGAGGCATTTACATGGACAACGTACGATGGTGGTTTGCAACATGCTACTAATGCTGGAGCGACGTTGAGTGCAGGGACGATCGTTGATCATCTACGTATCAGGTGTGGTTGTCAAACGCTTGTGGCCTTTGATGTGGATATGAAGATTTTATGCCCACTGTGCGTTCGTTATGCACCACATCTGCTGTGCACGTGGCATTACCCTCTCTCAGGGAGAAATCATCAACCCAGTCATTCTGGGTAAAACTATTCCTGATAGCTGTGCAGGCCAGCACAAGAACCAGTACGCTGCACTTAACAAGGTGCTTATGTTCGTGTGCTTGATGGTCAATGGAATGAGTTCAACTGAAAGCAACGGTTCCGCAGGTCTTCGACAACCTCAGCAAGGTGGTCGGCCCAGCAACAGTGGTGACGGTACTTGGCATAGAAGTCGACAGCGAGGACCAGGTGATGCGGCTACCTGGCAAGAAGTTATTTGCCTTTCTAGCGGCTTTGAGTGAGTAGTCCACGCGCACTAGCTACACAACGCGGGAACTGCTGTCGCTGATCGGAACCTTGTCCTTGCCGCAAAGGTGGTTCCTCCTGGCAGGACCTTCATCTGTCAACTCCTGTATCTTAGCTGGACAACTCTCTCAGTCTCTTCAGTCAGTAGTCAACATCAACACAAAAGCTCACTTGGACATCGAATGGTCGCGCTTCTTTGCCGCAAACTGGAATGGCCAATCCTTCTTCTACGATGTCGAGTTTTCAAAGTCCCCTGACCTTGAGCTATTCACGGATGCCTCTGATGTTGGCTTCTGCGGTTTCTATCAAGGACAATCGTTTTTGGGGCAACGGGCCGCTGAGATGCAGCATGAACCTATTGTGATTACTCGCTTCCGAGAACTGGCTTCCACAGCCAACCAGTGCCTGGTGCCAACTCCTCCGCTGAACTCGCCGCTCTGATTGCTGCCAGCAATGATCTCATGAGCGACTCAGACCTTTAAGCCCGGTATTTGCGCACACATAATCTGATGTACCCAGTTTCGGCTATGGCCGAGTTCCGGTCCCTGACCGCTACTGCCGGCAGCTCACGGCCAGTGTTTGTGTTCGTCGACGGCGGCTACTTCTCCCGAGTTTTCTCGACTAGGATCCTCAACTGCAACCGGGTGAGCTCCCATTCTGTGCGCATTGGCGGGGCCACACTCATGGCTCATCGGAGTACAAGTGTCTGTGAAGCAGCCATATGCCGTGCAGGCTGCTGGCGAAGTGCAGCATCCGATCACTATGTCAGGCGTGCAGCCGGTATACCCTCTGTGCAATGGCTAGCAGCAAAGACTGGAACAGCCCACGCCCATGTGGTGTTGAGAACAGAAGTGAGGTACATTTGTAGTGTTGTACAGTGTTGTGCCTTTCGCTTGTTGTGCAGTCCTTGTGCCGATGTGGCTCTGTGGGTATCACTTAGGGGTTTGCCATGGTTACTTGCAGGAAGTTATGCTAATGAGCAATGCCGTGAGAAATGCTTGGTCGTAAACACTGGTTTTTGGGAGGGTCAAATGCATTTGCCTCTCAGTGTTGTGCTGTACTGTCTCAGTGTTGTGACACCTGTATGTTGTTGTGTGGTTGACCCGCCGGTTTGAGGCATGGGTGGTCAACTGTGTATGTTGTATCGGTGTGTTCCCGTTTGAAGTTGCCGGGCCACCATGTGGTTGACCCGCCGATAATGGAGGCATGGGTGGTCAACTGTGTCTATTGTATCGGTGTGTTCCCGTTTGAAGTTGCCGGGCCACCATGTGGTTGACCCGCCGATAATGGAGGCATGGGTGGTCAACTGTGTCTATTGTATCGGTGTGTTCCCGTTTGAAGTTGCCGGGCCACCATGTGGTTGACCCGCCGATAATGGAGGCATGGGTGGTCAACTGTGTATGTTGTATCGGTGTGTTCCCGTTTGAAGTTGCCGGGCCACCATGTGGTTGACCCGCCGAAAATGGAGGCATGGGTGGTCAACCGTGTATGTGTATCATTGAAGTTGCAATACGTACATTGCTGTGACTCGCCCGATTGCTGTGGCCGGGCACCTACGCATTTATTTGCCTACTTGTGAAGAGATATCTCTTCTGGTTTATTGCATAATTCTTGGCTCAATGTTATCCACGGTGTCGCTCGATGCAAAGTCTCGTAAATATTTATCAGACAAAATTGAGAAAAAAAAACTATGGCAAACCCCACTTCCTTGTATTCTATCTGCTTGGTGTACACGCGTCCACGTTTTGTACGTTTGGCACGCACATGCGTGCGTGTGTATGTGAGAGCGTGTCTGGATAAATGTGCATATTGATGTTTTGGTTGTTTTAAGTTTTATTGTGTGTATGCGTGCATGCATGTGGGTTAAATGACGGCTTTGAGCAGCAAAGCCAAGTTAGCCCACGCATGCACGTGTTTTGTCACGGTTCTTCACGCGGCACATGAATAAAAAATATTTTTTCCGAAAATGGTGGATGAAAAAATATATCTTGCGTGGCCGCTTTGCCCTGCCTCGTGTCAGCAAAGCAACTTCCTTGTCAACAATTTCTGTCATCCAGTTAGCCAAAGTGACTCAAGGTTGTGTTTTCTCCCCTCCCTCCCTCCCTTTAGACATGACACGTCGGTATCTTGTGCCACATGACGAGGCCCCAAGGAGGGTCAAATGCATTTGCCTCTCAGTGTTGTGCTGTACTGTCTCAGTGTTGTGACACCTGTATGTTGTTGTGTGGTTGACCCGCCGGTTTGAGGCATGGGTGGTCAACTGTGTATGTTGTATCGGTGTGTTCCCGTTTGAAGTTGCCGGGCCACCATGTGGTTGACCCGCCGATAATGGAGGCATGGGTGGTCAACTGTGTCTATTGTATCGGTGTGTTCCCGTTTGAAGTTGCCGGGCCACCATGTGGTTGACCCGCCGATAATGGAGGCATGGGTGGTCAACTGTGTCTATTGTATCGGTGTGTTCCCGTTTGAAGTTGCCGGGCCACCATGTGGTTGACCCGCCGATAATGGAGGCATGGGTGGTCAACTGTGTATGTTGTATCGGTGTGTTCCCGTTTGAAGTTGCCGGGCCACCATGTGGTTGACCCGCCGAAAATGGAGGCATGGGTGGTCAACCGTGTATGTGTATCATTGAAGTTGCAATACGTACATTGCTGTGACTCGCCCGATTGCTGTGGCCGGGCACCTACGCATTTATTTGCCTACTTGTGAAGAGATATCTCTTCTGGTTTATTGCATAATTCTTGGCTCAATGTTATCCACGGTGTCGCTCGATGCAAAGTCTCGTAAATATTTATCAGACAAAATTGAGAAAAAAAAACTATGGCAAACCCCACTTCCTTGTATTCTATCTGCTTGGTGTACACGCGTCCACGTTTTGTACGTTTGGCACGCACATGCGTGCGTGTGTATGTGAGAGCGTGTCTGGATAAATGTGCATATTGATGTTTTGGTTGTTTTAAGTTTTATTGTGTGTATGCGTGCATGCATGTGGGTTAATAAGAAATTGCACGAAAGCCATATCGGGTGTTAGCGGGGGGCAGAACAAGAGCAGCAGAGACTTGGCCACGGGTTGTGGCTGCAGTGCGAGCACCATGGGCGCGCAATTATCTGTGGGTCGCAGCACGGCTGGAAAAATCCTTCCGCTTCCAAGCAGGACTTGAACCTGGTACCCTCTGTTTCTCAATCATGGTCTTAGACCATCCCACTATGCCTGCCTGCTGTGCAACAACAACTACTTGTACTAGAAGTTGGAAAATCAAAAAAGCGGCTCCAGGTGCCGGCAAAAACGTAACCACTATATAGATGACTTTGTTACATACGGTATGCACACTGGTATGGGAAAATGGTGCAGTCCGGAAAATTGGGTAAAATATGCACAGAAACGCACAAACACAGGCAAGCACATGACGTACGCAGAGAATCGTCACCTACTAAGCGGGGGACACTCGTACCCGGATAGCGAACCAGGCTGCGGGTACAAAGTAGCATTGGAAGGAGTTGGTGATAATATGCCCAACCAACCTTGAAAAAGCGATATTGGTAGTAACCGTTCCTCCGCTGGTTGAGTGGCTGTACAATGGGACGTCTAGAGAGACACGGGAAGTTCTATCAAGATCGGGTTGTGGCGCGTGATGACCGGGCCCTTTTCGTCGTAGTCCTTCTTTGTGTGGCACACCTGATAGAACTCCTGAGAGCTGGCCAGCATTGAGCCGCCGAACCAGACCGCGTAGTGCTGCATGTGATGCGTGATCACATTCACATCCATCGGCTTGTGCTTGATGCGGCTGTCGCTCAGCTTCTCGCTCAGGCGCTGGCGCGCATCCACCACCCGCTTAACGTCACGCTGCAGACGGCGGCCAAAGTCCCTGAATATGGTCGAGCCGCCGCTGAGCACGATGTTCTTGTACAGCGGACGGCGCACGTCAATCGGGCAGTTCTGGATGCAAGTATCGACGGTCTCGGAAATCGGAATGGTGAAGTCGGGATTGAAGAACTCCGGGTGGAAGAGGATCTCCGGTCCGAGGAAGCGCTCGTGGCCAACATCAATGCTCCACTTCTGTTTGGTGACGGGATTAACACCGCCGTGTTTCCTCATCCACTTGTCCGGCTTCGTGTCATATTTGTTAAACTCTTGGGCCACGTCAGCGCAAATGTAGCCGTAGCGTTCCTTCACCAGCTTGGCTGTTTCCAGTGATTGCTCAGGTGGAATGTCAGTCTCTCGATCACACAGCAGTTGCTGCACGAAATATGTGATGTCCCTGCCAGCGATGGGAATATGCTTGATGCAGCTGTCAAGTACGTAGCCCTCAACCACTGGGATAACGTGGGTAACACCATCACCTGATTCAATGACCGTTCCTGTGTACGTCCGATCTCCTAAATGTCGCGATGTCCACGATGCGGCCAAAGCCAGCGTAGCCTGGGCAGAGATGTAGAGACCGGCGACATTGAACGACTCGAACATAATCTCGGCCGTTAAATCACGATTCTCTGGCGAGTTTAGCGGAGACTCCGTGAGTAGGAAGAAATGGTCCTTCGGCTCTGCTCTCATGTATTTGAATATGCACTGCTCATAGAAACGCTCCATCAGGTCCCAGTCCTCCACGACACCATGGCGGATCGGATATTTGATCGAGTATCCTGACTTCTCCGTCGCTTCGTCGCCGATGTAGAAGTCCAAGTCGTCTACGCCTTTCGTTACGCTTCTCGCCGGTTGATCGCCGACTTCAGCTGATTCTTTGACGGCTATGGACGATGGGAAGATGAACTGTGGCTCGGTGTTGCCAGCAAAACCCAGCTTGGTGTATCCCGTGCCAGCATCAAGCACACACGCGGGTAATCTGGCGGCCATGGCGAACGTTCAACACCTAGCCAGCTAGAACGGACACAGCACCAAACGACCATCACTCTTTGTAGCAGTACGGCTCTAGACTCGGACCTTGGGCACAGAATTGGAAAGGCTTTCTGTCTAAAGCCTTTCCTGGAAAGGCCGCGAAGTTTCTGTCTAAAGCCTTTCCATATTGGTGCTCGATGTTTCGGTTTCGCGACACCCAAATTATTAATATTATTATTAGTGTACCACTGAGTGTACCGCTATGCACTTGGTCGACACGTTGTTGACACGTTGTTGATACGTTGTTGACACGTTGTTGACACGTTGTTGATACTTTGTTGACACGTGACCCCATTCAGTCCGTGCGCCAGACCCTGTTTTGGCACGATTTTTATTTTCTGCGCGGGAACCATACATACACAAACATCGCAGCAACACGTCGAAACTAGTTACTTGTTACTTGGCGCTGGAACTGGGACCCTGATCACTTGGCGCTGGAACTGGGACCCTGATCGCGCGCGCCGACGCACTGAAAGAAGCCATTGGCTCAATGCAGCTTTTGCCATCAGCTGAGGAAATTCCGCAGTCATCAATGTCAGAACTCTGGTCGCATTGGCATGACTCGCTTATCAACACAGCACGCTTGTACAGTCAAACCTCGTTAGGACGAACTTCAAGGGACTGAACACATTTGTTTGTCTTATCGGGAGTTCTTCTTATCCAGATCTGACAAAAAAACGATATGCATATCAGATGGATTGTATTTACGTGAAGGTGCATGCTGTGGTACATGGAAAGCACATTATTCTTAGCATAAGCCAGAAACAGGTAAAGTACAATGAAAAACTGAAAGTGCAATGAATCAAACACGCTTGAAAACAATTTGCACTGTACGTACAAATGACCTCAACTATTGAAAAAAAGAAGAAAAAAGGCAGCCAGCGCACGCGCACGCTCATGGACCGAAAGTTCGTACTACATGTACATGTACATGACCACACTGACTTTGTTCAAATCACACTTGAAAATAGTTCGTCTTCGCGAAAGTTCGCTGCACAGAAGTTCGTCGTAAACGAATAATTTTGACTTGAATTGATGCCTGGCCAACCATAGGATTGGCCTTAGTTCGTACTAATGGAAAGTTCGCCTTATCAGTGTTTGTCCTAACGAGGTTTGACTGTACTGTACTAACTACTTCGCACCACGACGTACACACCAGTCTCGCCCAGTTCGACGACCATGGATGACTCAACAGCTTCTTTCCAGAATTAGACTAAAGCATCAGCTCTACCGTCAGTATCTCAGAGCTCGCAGCGCCGAGAACTGGCTTGCGTTCGTTACTCAACGGAATAGGACCACTAGGCACTACACAACTGAGAGAAGCTAAATCCGCGGCTTATCCGCCTTTGTATCCACTAGCGCGCAAGGCGACGTAACTGGTGACGTAACTGGTGTCCCGCAGCGAAACCTGTACAAGTAAAATGAAATCACTGCGGTCGTCCCCGAAAAAGGAGCCGCCGAGTTCCACCTATTTCAGCAAACGGTAGACATGGGCGGGCAATGCTATCATTATGGCTGGCATTATAGTCCCTTTTACCAGGTGGCATAATGCTGGCTTTATAACACCATTTCGCATGCAAAATTGGCATTACAAGCATAATTGCCGGTCGACAACCGTGTCATGCATGAGGCTGGCTAGGTCCAGTTCCGAAAATCGTGCATCTGAACCCGTCCGGCTTCGTCCGGAGACTTGACGTTGCAAATCAACCTTCTCAGTGGTTGTTGTAGACAACATGCTCACTGCCGTTTAAGTTTTTTTCTACGCTTTTGGCCTTGATCCAAGACGGACTTCTTAAAGTGGCATTATTTTTTTTTTTTTTTTTTATATCCTCATATTAAGAGCATTGCCTTTAGCATTATCGCAGCAAATAACTAGCATTACCCGCCCATGCCTAGCAAACGGAACAGTGGCTGGATCAGATGGGGAAAAGGCGGAAGCATTTTTTAAAATCATTTCTTTCATTTCGGAGAGCCAGAAGTCCGTCTCCGGACCAACTGAGGCTGTACCAGAGTTAGCCGTGTCGCGCATCATCGGAAGCGAACTGAAGGAAATCATCACCACCCAGGACGAGGTCAGGAAACTCCTTTCCGCTCTTGATTCCGGAAATCGGCTGGGTACGATGGCATCCCGACGAAATTGCTCAAGATCACTGCACACGAAATATCATGCTCCCTCGCAACGCTTTTCATTGAGTCCTTCTCGCGAGGCGAGCAGCCGCAGGACTGGCGCGACGCCACTATCAATCCTCTTCACAAGAAAACCTCTCGTGCAGAGATAACCAATTATAGGCCAATCTCGCTCCTGAGTGTTATCAGCAAGGTTCAAGAGGGGACTGTTCACCAACGCCTCTACACTCACATTGAGCACCACATACCGGCCGACCAGTCTGGATTTCGATCTAAGGAGAGCACTGAACTACAGCTCTCCCGCCTAGTTCACGAGATCTCCGCCAGCCGAGATGCCGGTCAGGCCGTTTCAGCGTGCTTCTTTGACTTATCAAAGGTATTTGACCGAGTCCGGCATGCTGGCCTCCTGGCCAAACTCGAGCACATTGGTGTCCGTGGCATTGCCCTTACCTGGATCACAAGCTACCTGACTCGCCGCCGACAACGCGTCAAGGTTGGCTCCGCTTTGTCATCATGGAAATTCATTCCAGCTGGAGTACCCCATGGCTCTGTCCTGGGGCTTCTTCTTTTCCTGGTGGACACGATTGACCCCCCCCCCCCCCCCCAGCATGTACAAACTCGCACACCAAATGCAGCCAGTTCGCCGATGATACGACACCCATCGCGACGCATTACACAAGGGACTTATCAGCTGCATTCCTCCAACGTGCCGTGGACGCAGCAGGACGATGGTTGAAGGATTGGCATCTCCTCGTCAACACCACGAAAACCGTCGTCCTTTCCTTCCAACCCCAACACATCATCCACATCACACTCCACTCGACCCTGCTGCAGCAGGTCCACCAACATAGGCACATTGGCGTTACTCTCCAAGACGATATGCGATGGATCCAACACATCATCGAAACTACGAACAAAGCCAAAAAACTACTACACCAACTCCACAAGACACGTGGCACAATGAACGCTTTCAGCCTATTATTAATATACACGACATACATCCGACCCGTTCTCGAATATGGCAGCCTTGCCCTCTCCAACACCACACAGCAACAGCGGGACACACTGGAGAGAATTCAACGCCGTGCTATACGCATCTGCCTTCGGATTCCCCTCTTTGCACCAGTTCACCACAGTTCCCTCCTCCATCACGCAAAGCTTCCCACCCTTAGCTTACGACTCCGTGTTAAACAAGTCCTACTAGTATGGGACATCCACCACCAAAACTCCCCACCACACCTGCAACAACCACATCTTGCACCACAACGTCAACACCAACCATACACTCTTCGACAGACAAGGACCTACTCCATCGGACACGCACACACAAACAGGCACCGAGATTCCCCCATCAATGGAAGAACATAGTAAAGCCTAAAGGCTATGGAAGCACAGAGGAACGCCAAGGTGCCTATGTTGGCGGACCTGCTGCAGCAGGGTCGAGTGGAGTGTGATGTGGATGATGTGTTGGGGTTGGAAGGAAAGGACGACGGTTTTCGTGGTGTTGACGAGGAGATGCCAATTCTTCAAACATCGTCCTGCTGCGTCCACGGCACGTTGGAGGAATGCAGCTGATAAGTCCCTTGTGAAATTAATGCGTCGCGATGAGTGTCGTGTCATCGGCGAACTGGCTGCATTTGGTGTGCGAGTTTGTACATGCTGGGGGAGGTCAATCGTGTCCACCAGGAAAAGAAGAGGCTCCAGGACAGAGCCCTGGGCTACTCCAGCTGAAATGGATTTCCATGATGACAAAGCGGAGCTGGAAAAAAACTGGATTGCTCCCACATTAAACGGCGATAGTTCTTCTGCTATGCCGCGGGCATAGACAATTAATAGCAGTGGGCCCAGTAGGGCCAGTACCAACCCCAGGGGGACACCTGAGTAACTGTAATGCTAGCATTATGGCTGGTATTATAGTCCCATTTTTCCAGGTGGCATAATGCTGGCAGTATAACACCATTTCGCATGCAAAATTGGCATTACAAGCATAATTGCTGGTCGACAACGGTGTCATGCATGAAGCTGGCTAGGTCCAGTTCCGAAAAATCGTGCATCTGAGCCTGTCCGGCTTCGTCCGGAGACTTGATGTTGCAAATCAACCTTCTCAGTGGATTGTTTCAGACAACATGCTCACTGCTGTTTAAAGGGGAAGTTAAGGCAAAAATTAAAATTTCACCAGTTGTAGTCTTCGGGGTGCTGAGTCGAATGGTCGTGGTCCGAGGAAGCTGAGACGCTCCCTTCCTACTTGAATCCCAATCGAACTCGCGTACTTCCACCGAAACTGGGTGACTGCGCCCTACTACAGGTCTGCTCTCGATATAACAACTCTCACTTGTACATAAACCTCGCTAGTAAGTAAAAAAAATCAGATCCCGCGCCGAAACAGCATCACTCCCATACAAATTTTTCCTACATAACATAAACCTCGACATAACACACGCTACAGCGCGGTCCCCGACGTGCGCACTCTCGATACAACATAAATTCACGTTCACGGTACGATCAAGCGGTAGCTGTAGCTAGGCAGTTTAGTCCTACATAACGTAAACCTCGGCATAACGCACCCTGTGGCGCGGTCCCCGACGTGCGCACTCTCGATACAACGTAGATTCACGTGCGCGGTACGATCAAGCTGTAGCCGTAGCTAGCCAGTTTAGTCCTATTGTGCATTCTGCGGCATTGATGGTATCTGATGTCGATGGTGGTACAGTGTGTATATGTTTGCACGGTTGAACCCACCTTGTAATACCCTTCATTTTGAGGTACATCTTGTATTTTACACACGGTTTTCTACATAACATAACTCTCGATATAACATAATTTGTGCGTGGTCCCAGAGATTACGTTATATGGAGAGTGGACCTGTAGATGGGGATTTGTATGCAAAATGTCACTAAAAGCGCCATTTCGT